AGCTTGGTATACTATTCTTAAAGATTGGAAGAAAGTCTCAACACTTTTAATGCTCAATTTGAAAAAATCAAATTCATTTTAGTTAATTAAAAACTATTGAAATAAAAGGACCAAAATCGATATTAGTATAAAAATTAGGATTTTTTAACTATTTAACTTGCACCTTGTTATTTTTTCCTTTAAAATTGTATCACTTTTTCATTTTTCATCTCTTTAGTTTTTGATTTTTTTTTTGTAAAGCTTTATTTTGTGTATTTTTCAGTCTCCATTCCTTCCTTTCCCTCTCTTGCCTTCAAAATTATATTATTTTTTTTTTATTTTCATCTTTTTAGTATTTGAAAAACAATTGGTTTAAATCTTCAATTTGCTTATTTTTTTTAGTCTGTCAATTGAGACAGGGGAGGCAAAATGCTTAGATAACAACAAATAAGAGAAAAAGTTGATAGTTGGCTAAATTTTGAGAATCAAACTAGTTATTTTTTATACCAATAAATTTTATTTGACAGGAAAAGTTCTATTTAGGTTTTGTTTTCCTTTTATTTTACTATGAAAAGTAGATTGGACTTGAAAAAGAAATGTTTTTTGATTTGATTTATGTTCTTGATTAATTTTAGATATGCTTTGAGTTGAGAGATTAGGTTTTTAGGCTGATAAGGATATTTGTTGGCTATTTTTAAATTAATATAGGATAACATTTTATTTTTTGGATAAAAAATCAACAAGCTTAAATTTTCCAACAACCTCTTGATGACTGGATTATAGACTTCAAGACAACGCATCATTTACTATAGCAAAAAATATGTTGTTTGATTGTTTAAAAGAAAGATGAGCAACATGTTTCTCGCTCCTTCAATCAGTCTAACAAAAAAGAAAAAAAATAGAAAGGTTAGGCATGTGGGTCTGGCCTTGCAAGCCAATGCTCTTGGCTCCTTTTCATTTTATAGGTTGAGCGTATTAGCCTATCTAGGGTTAGTCACCTAGCCCTCTCCTTTTTTTTCCTTTTAGATATTTTCATGACTATTTTGTCAAAATTTATTAAGAAATTAAATAATAGAAAACCAAAATGTAAAATAATAAGAAAACCTATGGACAATCTAAAATTGTAGGGGAAAGTTTCTTTTTCATCTTTATACTTTCCTTTTTCTTTTTTCTTTTTTCTTCATGGTCTGTAGTTTTTGTAATTTCTATTTTGGCCTACAAATTTATTTTCTTAACATTTAAGTCCTTTAGTTAGAGAAATCAGAGAGAAATTTGCCTAAAAATAGTGAGAAGAGATATTGTTCAATTATGCCATTTTTCGATGATGAGACTATTCATCATTGATGTCAATGTATTTTATTTAATGAGAGGAATTTGATGATGATGAGTTTTTTTTATAAACATTTCTTATAAAGATATATCCTGTTTTATTTTGATTGTTTTTTATTCAATTGGTTATTATTATTTTTAGATGATTTTGAGATCTTTTAGGATTAATGAGTGATTCATAGAGGTTTTTATGGTGTTTATTAGGTTTTTTTTATGTGAAAATAGGTTGAAAAAAGCATTTTCAACCTATAAAATCCCACTCTTGAATTTCCTGCCACAAAAATAATAGTTGGTTTTTGAGATGGTGCTAAGCAAGTGACACTTCATCCACTATAACAAGCGACAAACGTTTATGTCTTTGTTTTTTTTTTTTTTCAAAAAAATAAGGGTCATTCACCATTTAAAAAAGAACAAAATAAATATGGCCTAAGCATGCAGGCTTACATTAGGTTCACATGTTTGGGCATTTTATAAGACTACACGCACTAGGCCATTATATTGATGCCTTTAGCCTGGTTTTTTTTTTTTTTTAATGTTAGGTTGATTTTGAATTGGTCTTTATATTTTTTTATCATATAATTAAATACAAATTTAATTTTATAGAGATTATGACTGAGATCACGAGTTTAACTAGTTCACCCGGATCAATCCAATATGTCTTGTTTTAATGTTAAAAAAGTTTTCATCTTGAGTTTTTTCTTTTTAAATCCATACCATGATTTTGCCAATGATCCAGGTTGTCTTTGGACTCATGTTTTTAAGCTGTTTTATTTTTTTGCCCTTTGATTTTATTTTATTTTTACCTTTGAACCTATCAAATCAACTAAGTTATGTTAAGAAAACTCCTACACGATTTAATCTAAAACCCGAGCAAGATAAGGAGACGAGGTGAGAGTTTTTATATTTAACTTAATGAATCATGTTTGCTAAAAATGTCAAAGATTTCCCTGTGTTTTGGATATTCTTTTTTTAAATTCAAGAATTTTTTATTTGACCCTATAATATAGCACAAGAAGTAACCTAATATATAACTATTAAAAGAAAATAAAAGATATAGGTATATCATTGTAGCCATTTTTCCTGTAGTATAAAACTCATAAGCATCATGGATTATAATAATGAATCCATAATTTTCTTTGGTTGGTCAAGTTTTGTTTTCAATTTCATCCCTTTTCATACTTGTTTGATTCATTATCGGACCTCATTAATGTTTATTTCAACTAGTTTCACATAGGATTCTCACAATAATAGAAAATTAATTTTTGTTTCATTAATTTGAAACATTTAAAGCTTCAAGGATAAAATTGAAACTTGCCAATTTAAAAACTAACATGAACGGGAAAAAATAGAGGGAAATTGAGAAAAGTTATTGTTATGTCTGTGTTATGTGTCAACGCATGTGAGAAGCTATTATACTTGGGTAGCATATGAGATGGCTTATGACATCCAATTCCACCCTTTCTTAGTGTCATCTAAATCATCTTGTTACGGTCTATCTCTACATGTAACTTGTGTTGATGGAGGGGTTTTAGTTTGGCTTTGATGAACTATTTTTTTTTCTTTTTTCTTTTCTCTATCCTCATCTTAAGTTCCATGGCTAAAACTCTTCAGAACCTATAGTGGGATGCCATTTTTTCTTGGGTGTCAAATGTAGTCCTTATTTTTTCTACTATTTTTGCTAGTCTTTTTTTTTTCTTTTTATTTTCATCCTTTAATATTGGGCTTGTTAGGAATAGAATTTCATTATTATTTTTTATTTTTCTTCTATAGGGCTAATCCCAGTCCAATAACTCTTTTAATAAGTTTGTTTAGTTAACCTTACCCGAGTTTCCTCGTATTTTTTAAATAGATTTTTTTTCTAATTTCATCCTACAACATTAGGTTGGTTAAAAATTGAACTTTATATTTTTTTTATTTTCTATTTATAAAGTAATCTTAGTCTCATGACCTGGGTAGCAGGTTTGTTTGGATTGACTTAGTTTTTTAGCCCCTTTTAAAAATTATTTATTTCAATTTTATCTTTTGATATTAGGTTGGTTGGGATTCATGATATTTCTTTTATCTTCTTTCTATGGAGTTGTCTTTATCTTATGATATAAGTCATGTGTTTAGCGAGTTAGCATGAATTGTCTCTAGTTTTTTTCTTAAATAGTTTTTTTTTTAATTTTATCCTTCAACATTAAGTTGTTTGAAAATTAAGTTTTTTAATTCCTTTTAGTTTACTTTCTTTGGAGTTATCCATTCTCATAATCTTTGTTACGAGTTCTTAGGGTTAACCTAGGGTTTTTTTTATAAAAAAATCAAATATATTTTTTAATTTCATCCTTTAACATTAAGTTGGTTGGGATTTGTGCATCGTATTTTTTTTAAATTTGTTTTATATAAAATTATCTCATTTTCTTAACTTGTGTTGTGTGTTTGGCGGGATAACTAGGTTTATTTAATGTATTTTTTTGTTTTTTTAATTTAATATTTTTTTAGTTATTATATGAGATTATCTCGTTCTTATGACTTGTGACACAGGTTTAACGATTAACTCAAATTAACTTAAGCTACTCTTTTTTATCCTTTTTTAAATAGTTTTTTTTTAGTTTTATTCTCCGACATTAATTATTTAGGAATTAAGTTTCATGATTTACGTTTTGATTTGCTTGGATTATTACGGTTTCATAATTTGTGTTGTAAATTTTATAACTGAACCAGGATTAACTTGAGTTAATTTAGTTTGTTGCCATCTTAATTTTTTTTAAAAAGATATGGTCCATAATATCATTAGCTTAATATTTAAAAAAAGCATAGTCCAAAATAGATCATGTTTTAATTTGATGATTAAATTATTCTTTGTACTAAGAAACACTTTAACAATGTAATTGGTCTTGTTTTTTAACATTTTAAAAATGTTAAAACCGACCAGCAGCTTAGAGCGAATCACATATCTATTTTATTACTAGACTGATAAATGGTGATATGCATTCTAATAAGAAGGACAATAATGTATTTTGCAGATGCGAGGACTGATATTCACTTGTTTTGGTGCTCATGAATTCATGCGAACTTTGGTACTACAACGCATGGGTTGTCTTCTATTAATTTAATGAGCCTCCAAAAACTAGATTGGTGACAAAATCTTGAACCTTCAAGTTTTATAATACAAGGAGAAATGGAGAACGAACTGTCATATTATATTTTTATTGACAGCATGTACAAGTGAAGACCTAATTTATCTATTAATAAACAGAAAGAAAGAAAGTCTGTCTGTCTCCTGCCAAGAGTCAAATTTATAATCTTATACACTGCATCCGACCATCTTCCACACGTGCGTCACTTAGCACTCTAGAATCTCACCAAGCACGCCCTCTTTTTTATTCATTTTTTTGCGTGATTTCTCTTTCTATGGGTTTTTCTTCTTAAAAACTAGAGGCGCCACCAGTCCCGCTGGTTAACTGGGAAGTCAGCTGCAGCTAGGGAATTATCAAATAGTTAACAACTCAAGGTTCAGATTCTTCGAGGGTTGAAGAGTCCATATATATATATATATGTATATATATATATATATGTATATATATATATATATGTATATATATATATATATGTATATATATATATATATGTATATATATATATATATGTATATATATAGATTCAGAACAATGAAGAATGAAAAGTCTGTGTTCCACAATAATATGTGCGCAATAATTCTTATTTCTCACGATGGTTGGTAGACTAAAACAATTAACAAGTCTTACTGTGTGTGGGTCACGTTGTATCATGTTTTTACCCTTTGAGGTTTATTCAGCCTTTGGTGAATACAAGTGTAAATGATATGCTTAAGAGCTTGTTAGAGAAAGATCTATTGGTTCAGACAGTTAAAATAAAATATATATCATATTGAAAACAAGAAATCAAGATGTGAAAAATGTACTTTTCATTAATTTCCAGCCTCGTAGTTTGAGCATCAAATTCCCTCAGCATGAACGCAATGAGTTGGGGAATAAAGGACCATTCCAACAGCCAATTATCAAATTTCAGATTCTGTGATGTAGAGAAGAAGAAAAGAAGAGAGATAAAATTGTGTTCCGAGCAACTCAAAAGCCACTTCTCTCTATCACTTTTGTTTTAGGCTAATCGTTTCTACTTTCTTTTTTAGAACAAAGTTTTTTCAGATTCATGTGCATTTTCTTCAAAGCGTAGCAGCAAATCTCCTTATCTCACACGGAGGAAATGTTCAGGTTGTAATTTCTCTATTTGAGTAGCCCAAATGGTGTCGACTCCATGGTACCAAATGGAGCTCGTTGTAAAAATTCTGGTCCTTGGCATCATCTAAGCAGCAATCTATTTGCATGCTAAAGTGTGCAGCACTTGAAAGCATGACTAGAAAGACATGGGTTTATTAAGTACGATGTATGCATGGCAACAAAACCACAGAGTCAATGGTTTAAGCAAATTGTGTTACTGAAGAGAAAGTACGCCTTCGTTACATGAGATAGATGTTCTTATTGTAGATTTGTAGACTTAAAGCTGCAGGGAGCATGCTCAAAAACAGAAACTCTGTATGCAGAACAAATCCTGAAACCAGAGGCAGGAGATTGGAGCTAAACGAGGGAGATGTCGAAAAGGTTAGACACGATAATATTTTTTGAGTACTTCGTTATATAATGCATATCTATGTGCTTAGGATGCTTAAAGTCGCTGCTTTCCAACAGTAGATGTAGAAAGCATACATTTATGTGAATCCTCACGGAGTCCTTCTCTTTATGACCATCAGCAGAAAAGGATCAATCATAATTACCATTGATATGGCTAGACTCTGCCAAAGGGCTGTTTCTTCCGATTGATTTTGTTTTAGAAGACCCCCTACTTTCCATTCTTTAAATGTAGGGTTGAAGAGTGGAAAATTCATTCTGTACACTAACATATGACTGGAAATGATTCAAGTAACTGGACGTGACTGCTTTCTTGGTCTTCTTCAGCGATCTGTTTCCAGAGAGGATGTTCAACTCGTAGAAAAAAGCATATGAAAAACACTAGACAGAATAAAATATAGAAAGGAAAGTTACCCACTTCAGTTTCAAATGAATGAACAACCGTGTGTTGTGCAGTTGAATTGATGGTTCCTTGAAGCCTGCTAGCACAAACTTTTGTGTTTTTGCTGCCAACAGCTGAGACTTTTTTCAAGTCTCCGAAGAGAAGATTGAAGATTGCTCAGGAACTAATTAAGTTCTACATCATCTTTCTGTGGCATCATGGGCAACAATTTGAATATCTGTAAATCATGCAGTAAGAAACATTGCATAATACTTTGCATTTCACAGGATTGTTTCCAAAATTACAATATTGGCCGCCAGCCTACATTGTCCTGGTCACTAACATTAAAACATCTGTATAGCCTGATACATGTACCAACAAGTTTTTCTTGTGATCAGTAGTCATCTTCATCTCTTGATCCAAAGAACCTCCTGACAACAGCCGCCATAGCACCAATAAACATAAAGAATACAAGAGTTTCAAACCCACCTCCAATGCCAACGGCAACACTAGGACCTGGTGCAAAGAATGAAAATGGAGACCAGCCCCAGCCACCATAGAATGGTACACCGTAGCCATACCCATATCCACCAACTAAAGGAGGGGCCACTGGTGGATTGACATATATATTGGTCCTTCACAAATATAACAGAAACTAAATCAATAATAAGCAACGTGAATAATTATAATATTTCATTTTAGAGGGTTTAACACAAAGATGTAATCAGAACAAAGAAGGAAAGTAGATTCCAGTGACACATTCAATAGCCTTTTCTTTGTGCTTTGGTTCGTGTAAGAAATATGCCTTTACGTAGCAGCCTTACTTAATGAAACATGTAGTATCTGGAACAGCAACGTAAGAAATTGCTTTCTTTTCTTTCTTCAGACATTCGTTTTCCTTTCCCCTTCTTCAACATACTTCACATTTTGTGCCTCTGATTCAATTCTTTCATTAATCTGTTCTATTTCTTTGGCTTTCTCTTCTCATTCTGAGTCTGTATGAAACCTTCGTTTCACAAATGGTACACAAACAACATGACAACAACCAGCTTTTAATCAACTTCTTTACATGATAACTTTTCTTTATCCCCAAAACAGATTGCTCCAAGTTCTTTCACCTTGATATTTTCATTCTATCAGTATTTCAGCATCTTTGAGTACCAATTCATCTTTGCAGCAGGGCTGCACTTGGCTAACCCCACGTCTCACAGTACTGGTTGCAAAATGCCTGGACTCTGCCCTTTTCTCCTTAATTTTTTCCTTATTTCTCTAGACTAGAGAAAGGTGTCCTGCCCTAGTTTATTTCTCTCATATTACTGTGGCTTATTTCAGAATTACTAATCACACATTCAAGCTTTGTTCAGTAGGTTACAATATTCAAGATAATGCAACTATCTGAATACAGGCATTCATGCACCAAGAGCTTTTTACCATGAAAGTAGATCAAATGTCACTCAACCAGTTCCACAAATCACATGACTAACGAAGCATGTCCCCTAAGCTTTCTACAATGGAATGTAAATTTAACATTCATAAGTTCAAATTTGACTGGGAAACTTCAATTTGAGATTTATCCTATCAATCCTTGCTTTGTGCATGCAAGATGACTTCCCTTCACTGAAGTAGCAGTCTTGTTAACTCGATCGTGCAGCACTTCCAGCAATGATCAACTCACCAAATGTTATACTTGTAACATGTCAAGGGGTATCTGCACCAGAACTTTAGTGTCTCAGCTTTTTCAAAGATAGTACATCTAATTTTTCCTTCCTTTTCTTGGTCCAATGGTGCAGTTATGAAATGAAGATAATGCTCCTCCTTTCTGAACCCATCCCGCTTCAACTCTGATTGATTTACTTCTGTTGCTTTAAACAATACCAAGAAACTAATCTAGTTGGCAAGAGTACTCTGATTAAGAGTTTAGACTCCAATGTTCCATGCAAGCAAATCCCGACCAAATTCATGACTGAGTACGGATCTCCTAAATTATGTGATCTATGGCATCTCCAAACCAGACTGGCCAACAATTATTGAAATGAATGTCTTGAATGAGGTTGAACTGACAACAGATTTCACAGCCAAAATTAACACAAGACCATTCAGAGATTTAATTCATAATTGTTGAGTTCTCTCTAGGTAACCAACATACCAATAACATCACAACAATCAACTAAAAAGGAAAATATATATATCCAGCAGCCTTGTTTTACTAGTTAATTAATCACAGACCAAAAACAAATTATAACCGAAAAAAAGAGGCAAAAATTAAAGCTGTATGGATACGTTACCTCGAATTATTGTTGATTCTAGGAGCTGACCGAGGAGCTGATGACCGGAAGGCTTGACCACCAACTCTGCCACCAGACTTGGCAGCTGATGCATCACCAACAGACCCCACTGTAAGCATCCCAGCTGCTAGTGTCACCACGGCAAACTTTGTCAATTGGTCCACAGTTTTCCTGTAAGAACAAATGCCCAAAAAACAATCTTTAGCCTCTCTCGCACACACGCAAAGAAAGCATGATCGCAAATAAGGAATAAACGAAAGTCGCTGAGATCAAACAAAACCAAGTTTAGCAGTTACCTGCTGCTGCAAGAATCTTTTTGGTCATCTCGGGAGTAGTTGCATGAGACAATAGGAACTGAGTTTAAGAAATTCGTTTTGGGTTTGTGGAGTAATGGAGCGATGAGGGCGTTGGCTAGGAAGCTCTGTTGAAATGATGCTATAGCCATGGACATGTTGTACAAGTAAGTATATGACTCCTCTGGTGTCGTGTGTGAAGTTCTTTTCGGTTCTTACTTGTGTTGTTTCCTCGCAAGGGAAGGACCATTCTTTTCTTGTGTCCAAGCTCCACATACATGGTCGCAGATTTTATCCATTTCATGATTGGGAAGATGCCACGTGGTGCTATAGCAATGGCTGCTGGAGCTTCCGTCGAAGTTTCCAAAAATGGCTGCCACCCCATTTCTTGTTTCCAAAATATAAAAAAAATATTTTATGAATTCAGAGATTGGATTAATATTTAAGAAATTACTTTCTTTAAATATATGAAGTTATCGTGAAAGATGTGTTTTTAAGATTATTAGTTTGTAAATTGTCACAAATTCTCTTTTTTTAATAGAATAACGAATGCAATTACCCAGTCTTATTTTTTGAAGAAGAACCAGTTAATTACATTATAACTTATCTTTCACATGTAACAGTCGTAGGGTATGATCCTCCCAAGTATATATATTTTCAAAGTAGCTCATATTATTACAAGTCTTTTTTTCTTTTTTCTTTTTAATTTATTCAAAAATAAATAAATAAAAACACTACCATGCCAATTGGATTTGAACAAGCCTATGTTAGACTCGGATAATCTTTGCCTAAGCCTGATTATTCAGGATATGACACCGCACCGGTGGGGTTCAAGCTCTTTTTAAAGAAAGAAAAAACAAAGAAAGGTAAATTTGTTTTGTGATTTTGTGACCTTCCTATCTTTTTATTATTATTATTATTATTATTATTATTATTATTATTATGAGTGTTCAGACCAGTTTGCACACTAATTAGTATTTAAAAATGCATTTTTATCAAGGTTTTATATCATTATTTTGCACTTGAAGTATCAATAACTCCTTAACTAAAGCATGTTTTATAATAATGTATCTAATAATATAAGATACCTTTAATTTGTGGTAAATGTTCATTTTAAATGCAAGCCTATCACATAAATGAAATGATTGATTGATGAATTTAAGAACTGAAATTGAAAGGACAAACAGATGACTAAACTTAGAAAAGACATGTTAGTGTAATCCAAATTGGAACACTATTCGGTGATTGGGTTATATTTGGAGCTGTAGATTTTAGATTTAGGTCTAATTTATATAGATGGAAAGGTAAGACATAGGCCTACAACTTCCAAGATTAAAAAGACCACTTTTAAGTCCAAATTGGAGCAATAACAAAGAAGTCTGAATCTGTCTTCCAGCCCGAGCACTGTTCGATATTTTGGCCATATCTGGAGTTCTAGAAGTCCAAATGAGCTGAATGTTTTACACAAGAAAGCTGAGACAATTGCCTACAACTTTCATGTTACAACTGGCTCCAATTTTGACGTTATCAATGACGTTTTGGGCAGACAAGAGAAGATAAGGATTGTCACCAAGTCAAAAGTTGGCCACCCACTTATCAATTAGTCATCAAATCAATAGTTCCTAATTTTGGCCTATAAAAGGAGGCATTTGCCATGCATTTAGGCATCTTGGTTTCCAGATCAAGATCATGCTCTTCCTTTCTCTCTTTGTATTTTTTATGCTTTGTTTTCATTAATATTAAGTTTATGCCTTTCATTTCCTTTCCTTTACTTAGTTAACTTTTATGTTCTTATTTTGTTTATCTATTTTGCTTTCTTTCATTATGTCTAGCTAAGTTAATTATGTCAAGGTGAAAAGGTTACACTAATGGTGTAAGAATAAGTATAATGTAAACTTAATATGGACTTTAATGTTTGATACTAACATGTTTTATATTTGTTATCTTGTTCACTCTTTAATACTTTGCTTGTTAAATGACTAATCTTGATTTATGTTGTATAACACTTGGTACAACAAATGCTTGGCACTTTCATAGCCCATAATGTATGGTATAACCGACACCTGAGCTATGAAAGGAACTTGATTTATTGTTAACATAAGTTATAATCATGAATGCTTGACGAGATTTACAAGTATTAGCATTAATTGAATAAGATGACTAATGTAATCATGTTAACAATATATAATCTGATTGGAACCTCCTTTGTGTGTGGTTTCCAATTCAATAATAAGAGTTTATACTATACTTGTTTGATATACCATTAGTGGAACCTCTAACCTTGACATTTGTTATTATCATTGTTTAATCGTTACATTAATATTCCATCTCAAAGTTCTCATCTTCTTCTTCTTCTTCTCCTTCTTTTTCTTTATTATTATTATTATTATTATTATTATTATTATTATTATTAGTACTACTACTACTACTACTACTACTACTACTACTACTACTACTACTACTACTACTACTACTACTACTACTACTACTACTACTACTACTACTACTACTACTACTACTACTACTACTACTACTACTACTACTACTACTACTACTACTACTA